GTCCATGCAAAAAAATCGTAGGTCTTTTAATTGTGTTAGTAGCACGTAATAGTGTTTTGGGTCTTTGAACAATAGGAACACAATTTGGGCTGCGGTAGCAAGGCCTAGCAGTGCCTGGCTCACAGGAGCAGTAACCTCAGGCCTGTGGATTTCTGAGCTCTGCGCCCTGCAGACAGGCTGCTTTTTTTTTTTTTTTTTTTATGTTGGAAAGGATCCACTCATCGGTAGAAAGTACGTTATGGCTCCTCGAATCTGAGAGTTCTGTTATTGTAAGGACGGAGAGAAGTAGGGGAAAAGCCAGCAATGAGGTGTGTGGCCCGACTTTTAAGATGATGAGAATTTGTGTCACAAAGGAAACCGTGACTATGAATGATACAGTAGGAATTCAGTAAACCGGATTTGTCCGCACACGGCTGTACATTATACATGACTAAATAGATGAACAGGAAGTGACTCGAGGTTGTGAATGGAAGCCTTAGAAAAACGGAGAAATTAAAGTTTCACGGGAAAATGATACTGCTTTTCAGATGTTTCGTTTCAAGCACTGGCAGGTACTTTAGGACAAGTACGTGGCTTTTCAGTACACGAAGCACCTAGAACTGGAGCCGTGTATTCGGGAATCAGTTACACAAAGGTAGTTGTGAAAAACCGAGTGGACAGCGCAACAGCTGAACCTGAGAGGTCACAGCCCCGATGCCCACTCTGGGGGCAGGGGAGGGAATCAGTGGTCCAGGTGAAGCATTTCCCGAGCACTGAGCTGGAAAAGGGAGTCCTAGAAAGCAGACGTACGGAGATTAAGACCACGAGCAGTGCGGTCTGGATGCCTCTTCCCGAAGGACTTCCTTAGATGGAGGCCACGGAGTTCCAGGGGCTCTGGCCACCTCGTTTCTGGTCGTACTGAGGACGCGGGCTTTGTTGCAGAGGGACCATAGGAGCAGGCAGAAAGGGAAAACATCTGTGAGCTTAGGCGGCAGTTCTAGAGGTTTGGCTGTGGAGGAAGAGGAGTCTGGAAAGGGAGAGGGGCTTTGTGGGAGGAAGGTGAGCAGGCACTTGTAGGCATCTACAGGTGCGTGGGCTGCTGCCCTCCTAGCCTGCTCGGTCATCTTCAGTAAGGTAGGGAGTTCGTTTTTCATGACAACGATAGTTCCAGCTTCATGTAATGATAAGAGGACGTCAGGAGGCGAGTGCCGTGTGTGCGTCTTATCTCCTTGCCCGGAACGCTCACTCCTGCTCTACTGCGGCTTTAAAGCCCCTCAGGACCCGCCTCGCGGTTAGCGCTCTCGTCTGTCTTCTGGAAGCTTTTTTCTCACTTTCCTTCCTGTGACCACAGTGGTCTCAGGGCCGGTCCTCCCCCAGGACTGTGTGGGTGCTTCCTGCGGCCTGCGCCCCTCTGCCCGGCCTGCCCCCGGGCCTGCCTTCCCATGTTCATCTTGACCCACTGTGTCTACTCAGTAAGGTCTTCTCTGAGTTTTCCCTTTTTATAAAAGATTTATTTATTTGTGCGTACAAGAGCTGGGGTGGAGGCCAGAGATGCACAGAGCGGGGAGCAGAACAGGCAGACTGACGGAGACACTGCTGAGGGGAGCAGCAGGGAAACAGCAGGGGTCTCCCGCACCCTGCGGGGCACTCCCCGGCCTGGGACTGAACTCGTGCCTCAGTGGCTGTGGGCCGCTCCCTAACCCTGCCCACCAGGGAGGGCCAGGAAAGACCAAGATTGTCTGGCTGTATCTAGCCCTGTCGCTCCCATCTCCATTTCTCCTATTTCTCTTTACTGTTCTGTTCTCTTCCACAGTCTTTTACCCAGTATCTGAACATTTAACTTTTCATCTTTTCCTGCTAGAATTAAACTCCACAGAATGAGGATTTTCCTAGCACGGGAACTGCGTCTGGCCACAACAAGCATTTTCCTGTTAGTTGCTTAAATGAATGAGTTTTTTTTTTTTTTTTGTGGAAACTGACATGAGAACATTCTTCCCTCTCCTCATTAATCTTTATTAATAAGCATGTTGAATGCTATTTATAGAATTAGACTTCTCTTACTTGGGAGTTGGCAAAATTTTTCTATCCAACACCAGAGAGTAAATATTTGTGCACACCATATGGTGTCAGAGCAACTACTGAACCCCGTTATTCTAATGCAAAAGAAGCCCGAGACAGTCCATTGATGAATGAAGGTGTCTGTGTTCTGGTAGGACTTCATTTATGGATGCCAATTTGAATTTCACGTAATGTTTGAGTATCACAAAACATTACTTTGAATTTTCTGCCAGTCCTGTAGACATGCACAAGCCGTTTTCAGCCTCTGGACCCCACATAACCGACAGCGGGCGGCAGGAGACCCTCGGCCAGTCTGCCACCCTCCTTCCCTGGTTTCTTAACTGTAATGCAGTTAAAACTTATTTTTCCATATTTGGTAGAGACCAGCACTACAGATTAAACTGCAGGAACAGAAAATCCAGAGATATTTCTGTTTGACTCCAGATTCTTTCCCATTGTTTCGTTTGGTTTTCCAGGGAAGCTTGTTTTCATTATGTGTTTATGATGCTCCCATTCAAGAGCTCCCATCCCCCGGCAGATGCCTCTTGATAGTGGTGGTGGTGACGGAGGAGTCCAGGAGCAGAGCTGGGCAAAGGCCACCCAGCCATCAAAGTTTGCCATTATTTACGAGCCGAGTGACACCCACATGGGAGCGCCAGGCACCGCCCGCCAGGCCTGTGCCCAGAGGACCCTCCCTCAATGAGAATTATGCCCCAGCTTTTTGACTTCATCCATAACAGATTTCTTGAACCAATTGCAAATGCTTTTAATAACATTGCTCAGAGTTAATTTTAGTTATGCTACATGGGCAGTTTTTTACTCTCTTGAAAAAGACACAGAAAATAGCCAGTTCTATTATCAAATCAAGCTGTCATCCAAATAAAGCATACTTTGCTCAGTAAGGGCAAAGGGAAACACGGTTTTCATTTGCAAAACATTTTAATATTCCTGATATTTCCGGCGCTCGATCTTGTCCGTCCCCTACACTCCCGCCGCGTGCCGTCACCTGTTCGGGGGTGAGTGCGCGCCGGCACTCGGTGCGTTACCTGGGCCACAGCAGGGAGGCCAGGCGGCCCCTGACCGCAGGCGGTGCAGACCCCGGGAGGCAGTTCAGGCTTGGCCTGCCGGGAAGCTGCGGGCGCTCGCGGGGCGCCGGGAGCGGAGGCCGAGCCTGCAGGTCACCTCCCTGCAGCCGCTGCCCGGCTTCCTCCTCCAGCCGCGTCAGCTGCTGCACATCATCCCGGCAGGGCCTCCCGCCTGCTTCCCTCACGTCCGGTCCTCCTGGCCTCCACAGTGACCGTGGCCTCTGAAGACGGCCCCTCGCCGGCCGGCCGCCTACGCAACGTGGCGGGCACAGTGAACGGAGCCGGGCCCGCGGGTCCCCTGCGGGCGGCTGGGGAACCTGGACACGGGTCGGCACAGCAGGGCGGCCCGGGAGCGGGTGCCGGGGGACCGCTCCCTTTGGCTTAAATGTCACCCGGCGGGCAAGTGGTGGCAGCAGTCTGGTGACGTGACTTTCGGTCATCCAAAAAGTAAAACGGAGACGGAGTTGACCCACATAGTGAGGCAGCAGCCACGTGGCAAAATTCATCGTCCTCTCAGTCTGGTTTTTTTTTTGTTTTTAAGATTTCCATATTCGTGCCTACAGAGCTGGGGTACAGGCCAGAGGTGCAGGGGGTGAGAGGACTCCCCAGAGACAGAGTGGGCAGCAGAGCAGGCCGGCTGACCAAGCACACTGCTGAGGGAGCAGCGGGGAGAGGCACAGGAGAGGGCTGATGCGCCCCGTGGTCACCTCCAGGGCCGGGATTGAACTGCGCTGCAGCGGCTGCGGCCACGTGGAGGCTGCGCTTTAACCCGCTGCGCCACCGGGGAGGGCCTCAGTCTTCCTGTTTTCAAACGCTTCTTAAACATCCCACTTAAAAGTTTGCACCGTGGGAGCAGAGGCGTCTCTGCCTTTTAAAATGCTAGTGAGAGACAGTTGTCCTAAGTAGTACATGCAGTTTGGGGTGGTGTGGACCGATGACTCCACGGGCACCTTAAAACTGTGCGAAGGGGCCCAGAGTGTGTCTCCCGTCTTCGCTCTGGTTTTTATAGGATCCCGTTCGTGTGTCTGTGTGACATTCGTTACCTTTTTAATGTTTCACTTGGTTAAACAGGCTGCATGTTGTTTATTTCTTTAAAAATACACAGAAGCCTTTGAGCCCTCTCCATCATGAAGCGTCCTCTCCTCTGGCAGTCTCAGCCGCCTAGACACGGCCCAGAAAGCTAGGCAGCGGCCAGCTGATGCCACAAAGGAAACGAGAGAAAGCTGCTCCTCCTCCGTGTTTCACTGAGAGCAAACACCATATTCTGTCCATTTTATTCTGTAAAGTTTTATTTGTGCATACAGAACTGGGGCACAGTCCAGAGGTGCAGGCGATGAAAGGACTCCCCAGAGACAGAGTGGGGAGCAGAACAGGCAGATGGACTGAAACACACAGCTGAGGGGAGCAGCAGGGAGACAAGAGAGGTCTGCTGCGCCCTGTGGGTCTCTCCTGGGCCGGAAATCGAACTCCAGCTGCAGTGGCTTCGGGGAGCTTCATGGTGCTGCCCTTTAACCCGCTGCACCCACCGGGGAGGCCCCCATTCTGACTGCTTTAAGAAGCTGGGAGGCCAGTCCTCATACTCTCGTGCGTCCTGCTCCTTTCAGGTGGTGCAGGTGAGACCGCTGCTGGACTTAGCAGACAGGTATCGCCTGCGCCATGCAGAAGGTGCAGCCCATCCTGACCCTGCCGCGGCAGGCACCGCCTGGCCCTCCACCTGCCGAGGCTTACGGGGGCGTGTGGTCCGGTCACGAAGCCTGCAGCCAGGCCGTTTTACGGTTGTGCCTGCAGCACGCTCCGCTGCGATCCAGTGTTCCGCGCGTGGCTGCACTGGTCTGTGTTGGGCGGGAGATCTCACGGCCGCCTCTCTTTGTCACACAGATGTCCCGAGGGCTTCTTGGGAGAATACTGCCAGCACCGCGACCCCTGTGACAAGAGCCGCTGCCAGAACGGCGGCACGTGTGTGGCCCAGGCCATGCTGGGGAAAGCCTTGTGCCGCTGCGCCCCGGGCTTCACGGGGGAGAACTGCCAGCACTCCACCTCGCACCCCTGCTTCATGACGCGCCCCTGCCTCAATGGGGGCACCTGCCACATGCTGAGCCGGGACACGTACGCCTGCACCTGCCAAGTCGGCTTCACAGGTAAGGGGCCGGCCACACGGAGCGCTTCCGCGCCCTTGACCTCCTTCCCTCTTTCCTGGGCTCACCCCACAGTATGGGGTGGAACCGAATGTTCTGGGCAGCTGTGCTTGACTTCTTTTGAGAGTCTTCAGAGGAGAGCACAAGGAAGAAAAAGGGCCAAGCGCTTGGGATGTTTGATCGTGTAAAGTACGCGGGACGGGCGGCCAGATCACTTCCCTGTGGGCAGAAGAGCGGCCAGCGCTGCTGATTATTCGCCTCCTGACAGCCCCGTCCCGGGGGCGCAGGGCCCCGCTTTTCTGACCTGTGACTGCTGCGCTCTGCTTCTCGAGCGAGCTCCGCCCTCCGCCTTGTGCTGCGTGGGAGTGTGCGGAGCTGGCTCCGGCCG